CCTGAGTTCAATCCCAGGTAACCCCCACCTCCAAGAAATGTTTTTTTAACAGTAAACCTTTTTGCCCTTCCTTACCTGTCCCCTTGGAGTAAGATCAAGATATGGTGACTGTGGGTGGGTTGGTTTGGAGACCTACAAAGAACTCTTGTTTAGTTTAGAAAATTCATTTACAAAATTATGATCCTAACTAGGCTCGGAAATTAATTTCTAAAGCCTCTCTTGGCAATCAGAATTATTTGTTTCTAAGGATCTGTACTGATAAGCGGAAACACACCCCAGGAAAGAAATTGCCTGGTAAACACAGGGTTAATTATTAACAGGTTGATAGAAATGGGGAAGAAATAAAGACCCCAGCTGAATGTTCAGTGCATGCTGAGCCAGAAACTCCTCTCATGTAAGACTTGGAATATTCACCTGATGTCACCATAAACATTTTGATGCTTTTCATCCAAGATTTTTTTTGGACCTGACATAATTGTTTTAAACGTGTTTTAATTGCCACATATTAATATACATCACAAGTATTTCTCTGAGTGGTTATCATTATAGTCATTTAATAAATAAAGTTAATTTTTATAATAAAAGTAATAAATGATATTTTTAGAAAAGTTCAACTATGATACAAAAAAAAAAAAGAGAGAAAGATGAAAGAAACCAAATCACCCCTAAACCCATCATTTAGAGATTGCTGCTTTTAACACATCTTAAAGGATGGGTGACCCTTCATTTTTTGAATGTCATTGTTACTTGCTTTTTAATGGTTGCATAATTTTCCACTTTAGTTAGAATAAAAACTTTGGTGAAAAGTGTTGTGAATTGTTCCCCTTAGCCTGATCTGCAGCATTATGACTGAGTCATGGCATATGTGTTGTGGTTATTCCCAAAGTAAGAAACTTAAACTTCTCTTTGAAAGTGGCTGCTTCACCGGGTGGGGTGTGGGTGGTGAGCACTCCTAACCTATGACTCGCCTCCCAGAACTTCCTCCCTCTGCACACACCCCCTCTTACTGCCCCTGGCCTGCATCCTAAACTCCAGCACAAATAAGCCTGCCCCACACGTGTCCCTTTGTGGTTCTTGGTTCTTCTGTGTTCTCCTCCCTGCAGAAGGCAGGGGTTGGTTGTCTCTCCTTTGGAAGTTTCAACATAGGTCAGGAAATGGGAAACTTCCCCTTCTCTTTCTTCCTGAGCCAGGAAGGATGATCTTGCTCTTTGCTTTGTTTAGGAAACAATCTGTTTGCCAGAGATAGCTTCAGAGCTTGCATTATCTCTCTGGCCTTCCTAGGATCCGTCTGTCCACCACTCGGGCCTCCATCTAGTCTCACCTGGTCACCACATGAGCCCACAAATGATGGCAGCATCTTGTGTCCTTGGGTCATGGGGTGGGACTGAAGGAGGAGAGTCTGAGGTCACTTAGTTAAAAATATCCAGGGCCCTTAACTTTTTGCATTTGACTTAATGATAATGATAAAAGCTGACATTTGAGGAGGGCTTGATCCCTGGCAGGAAAGGCAGTGTGGTGAGGAGACTAATGACTAAGATCAGAAGAGATAATTGTCCCTCCCTTTTGCTGGCAGTAGAGCATCTTCAGCTCCAATTTCACTTTTTTTTTTTTTTTTTTTTACATTTTCTTTAATGTCCTCAAAGGATTACGGGAAAGCTCACGGAAAAGAAGATCAAACTGTAAAGTGATCCTCAAGTGGGAAAAGGTTTCATTATTGTAGTTCTATGTGGCTTCTCCAACCCTGGACCATAAACAAGGCCAAAGATAGAGACCTCTCTTCAACTATCTGGTTGATGAACTTTTTTTTTTTTTTGACATTTTAGAGTTATTTATGTTATTGAATTTTCAGGGCATTTTCTGTTCATTTAAATGTTGAGATCACCCTTATTATTTGTTTGCTTTAATAAAACATAAACCGTACTCCCTTGGTTTTTCTCTGTAATGAACTAGCACTGGTGTTCTCAGCAGGTGATATGCTCAGTACTTAAAATCGGAGGGTGGACTTCAGTAACTAATTATTTGTGTGCCTATGTAAGAAAACAACCAAAAGAGCTAAAACGTCACCGTCTAAAAACATGGAAGCAGAGTAGCCACAGTAGATGATCCTTATTTTTGCATTTGTATGGCATTGGACACAGTAACTTTCACAGCTCTTTGTAGGGATGCGGGTGTGGCACGCTGGAGCATCAGGGGAACTTCCAGTGGGCAGCTGACTAAGGGCTGAAGGTTCACTCCTTTGTGTGGGGGTCCAGCAGGTTTTACCAGATTTCACCAGGCTCTGCTGCTGGGCAACATCCGTCTCTCCTTCTGAACTAGTATAATGTATCCAGATGTTGCAAGAGAACTGTGACATCTCATTGTCAGAGATGGGCTCCAGGCCCCAAATCCCCTCTGTTTGGAAGGAAGTCAGAGCCAAGAAATAAGTGAGACTTTCAAGTTATTCAGCAGTGCCATTACCATCACCATTATCGTCACCACCATCATGATTTTAGGAATGCATTTGGACAAATGCCACAGCCAGCCATGTGCGTCTTGTTTATGTTCTGGTGATTTTGCACCTAGAACTCCATCAATGCCAAAGTAAATCTCAGGGAACTTGATCGTAAAATTAGGGAGTTCTTTGGACAAACTGAGGAAGACCTGACATGAAGGTGGTGATGAGGAACAAGTTGCTCTTTTCTAAGAAGGCATTTCAAGTGCAATCCCTAAAAACTCATGAGAGACTTAATTTATTTTTAGTTCCCTACATTTTTTTAGAACATTTTAAATATTTTTTGTATGTGTGAAGGTATTTAAGAGTAGCCAAGCATAAAAAATGACTTGAAAAAATTACATATAACAGAGATAACATCAATATACAAATGGTTATTATTAATCAGTTAAAAAAAACACCCAGAAAACTTCATAATGGGAAAATGGCATGAACCAGTAATTTATGAAAGAAGAAATACAAATAAATGATCATTAACCTCAGGAAAAAAAAATGTGTGGTCTCCTCTAAACAATGAAATAAAAAAAATTTGAGTAATGAGTTATGAGTTATCTTCACTATCAGGTCAAGAGTATTGAAAGTTTGGGCAGATGAGAAGTAAGGCTCTAATAGAGAAGAGGTGTGGATGAGTATGGCCTTTCCCAAGGGCAATGGGTCAATATATAAAAATGTTTTAAAGGGAACACAACTTTGCAACTCGGCAACATGGCTCCTAGGCATTGATGTTGAGAAATCAGGCAAGGAGGGAAAAGTGTATGTATAATGTTACTCACTGACTCTAGTGGTGAAAAATAACACGAGCAACTTACTTGTCCATCGTCGAGTGCTTGCTGAAGAAGTTATGGAGCAGCTGGTCTGAGGGGCTGGGGAGGGTAAGGTCAAAGTAGAAGCTGCTTCTTCATCTCTGCGCCTCCCCTGACCCACCATGCTTGAGACTTAAAGAAAACACTGCAAGGAGACAGGAGGCCGAATTGGTGCCTCTTCTTTCCCTGGGGTTTCTAGAATCTTCCTTGTTCTGCCACATGGTGATTCAAAGTCATGGTGACATCTGAGTGTGGTATGGATTAGGATGGACCTTTTCCTACTTCTTTACCCACAAATCTTTCCATGTGCCTTGATAATTTTGGTCCTTTGAGGACATTGTACAAGGTGTCAAGAATTTCACCTCTTCTCACCCCCCAGGGCACAGCCACATCACATCCCACATCACAGCAATGGCCTCCTGCCAGGAGGCCAGACCTATCGGTGGGTCTGTCATACCCCCAAAGCTTATTCTCCAAGTGGGAGTCAGATCGAATCTGTTGGCACCGGGAAAGCCTATTTTTCTATGCTCGAAACCTCGTAAGACCCCTATTTCTTTCCGAATGATCTGCATAACTGGCCTCTCCCCTGGGTCTATTCTGACTTCTTCTACTTTTCCTTCATCACTTCCTTGGCCTTGTTCATGCTGGTCTTGCTTGTTGTCCCTTCAACAGGGCAGCACATGACCTTAGTCTCTTTACCTCTGTCAACTCCTTAGGACTGACCCAACATCAGTCTTGCCTTCTCCCGAGACCTCTTATGTCCCCCATCCAATATGCCAATGCACCCTCCTTATTTCTCAGGACAGTCTCTCCCCTTCACCCTGCTCTGCTGTGCTTTTCTTCCTTATCCTTTATCTTTTTAAAATAATAACTAAATTATCTTTTATGCTTGCTGTTTGTATGTCTTCAACTTGAATGTTTTGTTCACTGAGGGACCCCAATTACCTAGAAAGATGATTGGCATCTGATGGGTGTTTTACACACATACACACACACACACACGGATGCACACACTTGTTGAATGGCATAAAAGAAACCCAATGGATCATATAAAGATATTAATGGCAATTACTTAATTTTTACTGAGCATTTACTATGTGCTAAGTAGTGGGATTGTATGCACCAGCTCATCCAGGGCTCCCAAGGAACTGATGAAGTGGGTATCTTTAAGACCACTCATTTATAGATGGGAAAACTGAGGTTTAGAAAGATGAACACAAGCTGCCTAAAATCTCATAACCAATATACTTTAAACTTAGATGTAAAGCCAAGAAGTCTGAGTGCTGAGAATTCTGTTTCAGCAAACCAACGTTGCTTCTGCACTATCTCTTAATTGAGATCGTGTGAGATTTAACTTGGAAAAGGGGGTTTTTTCCTATGTAAATAATTTTGGCCACCACTGTCCTTGATATTTGAACCAAACCAAAATCCTGTGGTAGCAAATCTAAGCCAGTAGTAGGTTTCCAAGTGATCAAATACCGTGACATTTGAATAATTCCTCCCACCACTTGCCATTTGGGGCTTGGTTTTGCAGAAGAAAAAGTAAACATCTGTTGATCATTTAAGGACTTTCTTCTACTGTTATTAAAAACAAAATCTTACCCCTCACCTCTACATGTTGCTATGCTGTGTCTGGGTGTGGCTTTGCATCTTTGGCCTCTGTCGGTCACAGTGACTGTCCCCTCACACTCAATTCTTTCTTCCAGGAGAATGACATAAACCTGACCCACATCGAGTCCAGACCTTCTCGACTAAACAAGGACGAGTATGAATTTTTCACCCACCTGGATAAACGCAGCATGCCTGCCCTGACCAGCATCATCAAGATCCTGAGGCATGACATTGGCGCCACTGTCCACCAGCTCTCCCGAGATAAGAAGAAAGACACTGGTAAGAATTAGAAGGGCCGGGCGCGGGTGGCACACACCTGTAATCCCAGAGGCTCCGGAGGCTGAGACAGGAGGATCGCGGGCAAGTTCAAAGCCAGTCTCAGTAAGGCGAGGTGCTAAGCAACTCATTGAGTCCCTGTCCCTAAATAAAATACAAAATAGGGTTGGGGATGTGGCTCAGTGGTCAAGTGTCCCTGAGTTCAATTCCCAGTACCCTCCACCCCCCCCAAAAAAAAAAGAATTAGAGAAATCCTGGGACACAGGGGTCTGTTTTTATAAAATGACACACAAATAATGCCTCCCCTGGAAACCGTTGTGGGGGATTAGAAGAGAGGATGTAGGTAAGGGACCAGGACTAGCTTAGCATGTCAGGGACATATAGCAAATTAGTTTCCTCCTCTTCAAAATAGCTGTTTCTTAGATTAGTAGTTCTCTTTCTCTCGCTGCGATTTTTAGACCCTGAATCCATCATCTCTCAATCTTCTACCTCCAGAGGTGGGATGGTTAGGGTGCCAGGTGCTTCCTATGCGAATGCAAATCCAGAATAAGATGCCTAGTGGTCTCCATTGCCACCAGAGGACTGTCTCAAGACCTGTGCATAACATGCCAGTCCTGGAGCTGGGCCTGCCTGGTTCCTTGGTCCTAAAGGTGTCATTGTCATTGTCTGTCTTTTTATCTGCCTCTGCTCCTGAACTGCCAGCTCCTCATGGGAAGGGGGTCCCTCTTACCTGTACGTATATCCTCAGAGTTCAGCTCAATATGCTCGGTACACAGCAAATATTTGTGAGTGAATGATTAAATACAGGATTTACTAAGATTTATGCTGTCCTGTTCTCTGCTTACCAAAGTGCTGCCCATTTCTGTCACCTGGAGAAGTGAAGCGTGATAGGGCATAGGTATTGTAAGTATGGGCTTGAGATTAGATGGACTTGGGTTCAAGTCCTACTTCCTCCCCATTATGACTTTGAGACTCTGACAAGTCCCTTGAGCTACTCTGATTTCAATTTTTCATTACGCTTATACAAGCATTAAATGAGATAATATGTAAACCATGCTTGGAACAGTATCTGACATAGTAGAGGGCTGGTTAAATGATGGAATGAAGTTGTTATGATTATGATTAGCCTAAAAAGAATATCGTGAAACAGGAAGCTGTGTTTTAGGGTCCAAAGCATATTTTTAATAGACTTTAATTTTAGAACAGCATTAGGTTTACAGAAAAATTGTGCAGAAAGCACAGAGAATTCCAATGTCTTCATTCTCCTTATCCCTAGTTCTCCTTATTAAGAATTTGCATTAGGGGTTTGGGATGTGGCTCAAGCGGTAGCGCGCTAGCCTGGTATCCATGAATCCCAGGTTCGATCCTCTCCATGACATGCAGAGAAAGAATTTGCATTAGTGCAATACATGTTTTATAATTTGACGAGTCAATATTGATAAATTTTTATGAACTAACATCCACGGATTACATTTAGAATCGTGTTTTGCATTGTATAGTTCTATTGGTTTTAACAAATGCATGTCATGTATCCTCATCAAACTAAACAGAGTAGTTTCATTGCCGTAAAAATGCACTCCACCTAGTCCTCCCTCCTACATTACCCTCCCTTCAGCAACCTCTGATATTTTTGTGTCTCTGAAGTTCACCTTTTCTAGAACGTCGTAGAGTTGGAATTCTATGGTGTGTAGCCCCGTAGACTGGCTTCTTTGACTTAGCAACACACACGTGAGGTTCCTTCATGTTTTCTCCTGACTGGAGAGCTCATGTTGTCTCTGAATAATATTCCACATGAACTTCACGAGTTCGTTTATCCAGTCGCCTAGTTTAAGGACATCTTGGTTGCTTCCAATCTTTGGTGATTATGAATAAAGCTATGATAAATATTCATGAGCAGGCTTTGGTGTGGACATAAGTTTTCAACTCATTTGGGTAAATATTTAAGACTGTGGTGGCTGTGGTGAACTTGTTTATTGATCAAATTTGTTTTTCCACCGTAAAATCAAAAGTTTCTTTCAGAACAATAAAAACCTTTAGGTCAAGAGAATTTCAAGCACTGTAGCTAAATTGGTTAATAGATACTAAGTTACAGTTAGGTAAGAGAAATAAGTTCTGGTGTTCTATTGCACTGCAATGTACTGTCTTTTTCAAAAACAAAAGCTAGTAAAAAAAAATTTTTCTAATACTCCTACTACATCAAGGTGATCCATGTTTACAGAGATGGATATATTTACCCTAATTTGAGCATTATACAATTTATATGTGTTTTCTCATAAATAGGTAGACTTCTTTTCTTTATGATGGGGATTGAACCCAGGACCTTGAACATGCCAAGAATATGTATAGTTCTTATGTGTCAATTAACAATGATTTTAGAATAGGATTTTAATAGGCAGATGCTTTAAAAATGAGCCACAAAAAGTGGCTTTTGTCAAACAGGCCACTGAGTTATTTCCTAAATGGTAGCTCCAAGGCCCTCCTAGGAGACCCCTTCTGCCCTCTCCTCCTGAAGGTAACACTAAGACAATGAGGCCCGCTCCTGGGCTCTGCCCTTGCCCACCATGGACAGCCATGCAGGGGCTCAGGCATCCAGGGGTTGGGCCCTTGGAATTTGTCCTCTGTTCAGCCCTTTCTGTCCCACCCCCCCTTTTAGCCTCTCAAGCTGCCTCCCTAGTGACTGTCCTCTCCTGCTTTTCCGGCCACCTGCTCCCAACAGGAGCTGCAGGCCCTCAGGACAAAGGGCCTCCAGGATCCTGGGGCAAGCTCTGCCTCTGGTCGCAGCAGGTGGAGGCTGGGCCAGCTGGGGCTCTGGGGTCGGAAATCAAAGCAATTGACAAGCAGGCAGGCGGCCCCTTGAGGGGCCCGGAAGATGTATGTGGACCAGCTGGAGGGCCGCAAAGGAGGTTCTCAGCAGGGATATCACGGGACAGTTAGGAGCCAGGTTCCGGAGCCAGGGCGCACCGCACTTGGTGTGACTTTGAGCAGATGACTGACCTCTGCAGCCTTCTACTGTATCCAGTGGGAAAAACAAGAGTCTCTGCCCTGCAGGACGAAAGAAATCACACCTAGGAAGCACCCGAACAAACTTAAAGACTTAATCGATCGTCTCTTTTCTTATCATTATCATCCTTATAAATTATTATCATTGGGGACATGAATGCAGGAGCCACAAAAAGCCAGTCTGTACACAACGTCTCAGAGACCCTGAAAACTGCAACATGACCTCGGCGGAGGTCACGTGGCCCTGAAGACTCCCTCCTTAATGTTTCATTGTAAAGATGGAGGCCATGACTGGCCTCAAGGCACAGTGTGAATTCTGTGTGGTCACAGGCAGGGGTGCCCTAAAGCCCCATGCTGTGCCTGACACTGATCAGAGCTGTGGATAGAGTGGGGCCTGCTGCCTGTCCCACAGGATCTCACCGTCTGGCAGGGACAAGATACCTGGGTCAAAGCAGTGGAGAGAAGGATGCTGTGAGAGAGACAGCTGTGTGTCTCTGAGGACCAGCAGCGTGAAGGTGAAAAGGTATCACGTTGTCACCACTGAGTCTATCAGAGGCGGAAGGTTAGTCGGGGTATGGTCCCTTAGCAGGGTTCCTCACTTCTTTGCTCCAAATGGCAGGGTGCTGATGTTTGAAGCTGGGAGGACATTTTACCTGGAGAAAAGAAAACTTCTAAGTCTTTAAAACAAGTGTTTCAGGACCCTTACTTCTTGGAATGGCCGGTCAGACATGCCCTGATGACAACCCCACCTGACCTCATCTTATTTTAACAGCTTCTAGGGATGCAGCAGATGCAGAGGTGGCACCTGCCAAGGGATAGAGGGCCCTTTGGGTCTCTATGGTAGCAGTTGTGGAGTTTGGGCCCAGATTTTTGTAGCGGAAACAACGGTCTCTTTACAGAGTTGTTCCTTCTGCGAGGCCTCAGTGGGCAATGATCAGAGGAAGAAAAAGCCTTGGAGTAGCCCGGAACCTTTGATTCTTTCTCTGGACAAAATGCCCTTTTTAATGAGGGGCTCAGATCTCGGGCGGGTCTGACAGCAGGTTCAAGTGGGAGATCTGAACCCCTCAAATCAATTAAGCTAAACCACTTTCCACTCTAGTTTTCAAACCATTCAAAAAGCCATGTGGGTGACAGAAAATGAAAGTTTTTCAGTTTCTTAATTGCTAAAGTTCCCCACCCAAAACAGCTTAAGGGAAGGTTAATTATGGTGACATGTTAAAGAAACCCCAACCTTCTCAAATGCCTCCTGGAGAAGTTGATGTAAGTTTAATAGGATTTTAATCCAGAGAGTCTTTTGAATAGTTGAGGCCTATTCTCCTCTACCCTCTCTCCTGAGGACCTCAAATCCTTCTCCAACCCAACATGAAAGAGCATTAATATCGGCCATCGATCAATCTCCTAATCCTTTTACCTTCCCTTTGAGTCTTCTGCATGACATTGCATTTACTGGGGGGTTGGAAAATGCCTACGTGGAGACAGACTGCAGCCAGGGGAAGCAGACGGACAGCGCGTCTTGGAGGGATGGAGGTCGAGATCACTTTGTGAGAAATTTATCTCCTGGGTGTTATTTTTCCAAGAGCAGATGGATACTTGTTAGATTTTATTCAAGTTATGGTAATTATGAGTGTGTTGGTGTGGAAGTTAAGCAAGTCCAGGCTGCAAATACAACTGCATATTCTGTGTGGAGCTGAAAGGCTGTCTGTCTGTCTATCTATCATCTATCTGTCTGCCTGCCTAGGTAATATGCATGTATGTATCTACCTGCCTACTTACCTACGTATGTATCTGTTTGTGTATGTATATAAGAATGTCTACATATTTTTTCTGTGTCTGTTTCTTGTCTATTATCTATCCATCCATCCATCTATATAAGCTGGGAGCTCTTGTGATTACTGCAAGAAGACAAAAGCAACTTCCCAGTGCTTTCCCCCTCCCTCTAATAGCCACCCCCCCGCCCCCCGTCCCCTTGAGTTTTCTCTCTTTTCCACCATTTCTGCCTTGAA